ATGTTTGTATTTCCTCAAGGGAATTACAGTAATCATATTATAAATATTGAGAAGAAATATAGTAGTGAGACCACCAGCCACAAGCATACCAAAACACTTACAAAGAAAACAGTGGTAGGTTAATAGTCAGCTCTGCTGGTAGAAGTATTGCAGTCAACAATTTTTACATCTAACATAGATTTGTAGACCAAAGGAGAACAATTGCAAGTGCAAACATGATCACAGATAGGACTGACTGTATTCTCATGGTGCAGGAGACACAGAAGATCATCATAATTCTGTTTTCTATGGGTGGATAAAGAATGAGTTTGCACAGTGCATATATGCTAGACAGTCAAAGACAGAACAGAAAGTGAGGGTGTGCCCACACTTCAGTAAGCCAGGGCTGCAGCACACAAGCTGGGGTTTACAACCAGAGTAACAGCAAAGACCTCAAGGGCTGCTTTACCTCATCAGGTGACACACACCAAACAAGATATCTATAGCTTTACTGCAATTAACTACCAAGATTAAAACTGGTTCAGAAATAACTATATGCCACCAATGTCTTGAGGTTCGTGATGGAAGAAGTCTTTGAATGCTAATTCAAAGTAGATCTTTCATTCTTTCTAGAACGGTGTACCTAAACATTGATATTTAGCCTCCCCTGCCCTTTTCTGCCAGACTCCTAGAGGTGTTGCATTTGGCTTTATCTATTCTCCACTTATTTCTGAAGCACAGATTTTTATTTAAATTTTGAGGTAGGATGACTTAATCACTTCAGTAAATAAAATATCATAGAATCATGGAATGGTTTGGTTTGGAAGGAACCTTTGAGATATAATTCCAACCCCCCGCAATAGGCAGGGACACCTCCCACTAAATCAGGTTGCTCAAAGTCCCATCCAGCCTGGCCTTGAATGCCCCCAGGGAGGGGGCATCCACAACCTCTCTGGGTAACTTGTTCCACTGTCTTGCCACCCTCACAATAAACAGCTTCTTTTTAATATCTAGTCTAAATCTATCCTCTTCCAGTTTAAAGACATTTCCCCTCATTCTGCCACTACCTATCCTTATAAAAAGTCCCTCCCCAGTTTTCCTGTAGTCCCCCTCCAGCTACTGAAGGCTGCTATAATGTCTCCTGAGCCTTTTCTTCTCCAGGCTGAAGAGCCCCAACTCACTCAGCCTGTCCTTGTAGGAGAGGTGCCCCAGCACCAGATTTTTTGATCATCTTTGTGGCCCTCCTCTGGACCCGCTCCAAGTTCCATGTCCTTCTTGTGTTGATGGCCCCAGAACTGGACGCAGTACTCCAGATGGGATCTCATGAGAGCAGAGCAGAGGGACAGAATCACCTCCCTTGACCTACTTGTCAAGCTTTTCTTGATGAAACCAAGGATATGGTTGGCCTTCTGGGCTGCAAGTGCGCATTGCCAGCTCATGTTGAATCTCTCATCAACCAACACTCCCAAATCCATCTTCTCAGAGCTGCTCTCAAGACATTCTCTGCTCAACCTCTATTTGTGCATGGGATTGCCCTGACCAGGTGCAGGACCTTGCACTTGGCCTTGTTGAACTTCATGATGTTGGCACAGGCCCACCTCAAGCCTGTCCAGGTCTCTGTGGATAGCATTCCTTTCCTCTCGTGTGTTGACTGCACCACTTAGCTTGGTGTTATCTGCAAACTTGCTGAGAGTGCACTCAATCCCACTGTCCATGTTGCCTACAAAGATGTTAAATAGCACCCATACCAGCACACCGATCCCTGAGAAACGTCACTTATACTTATCACTGGTCTCCACATTGAAACGTTGACCACAGCTCTCCGAGTGCGACCATCCAGCCAATTCTGTATCCAGTGAGTGATCCATCAATCAATTCCATTTTTTTCTCCAATTTGGCAACTGGGATGTCATGAAGTTAAATAATGAAGAGGTATACATATCAATGCATACATATCAATGAAAGTTTTAAAACACAATTTCTTCTCCAAAATATGTTTCTCACTAGCTAGGGTGACAGTGACCAGAATAAACCAAAACAGTTGGCTTTAGTACAAAGTACTTCTATTTTTGCACCAACATTTGTAACAGCTATGCTTAAAGAATTATGGTAACATCATCATCACTCGGTCATCTCCAAGAAATTTATGAAAGCGGTGCATCCGCAAATCTATAATCAACATGTGTACTTCATGTTTATGGTAAGTAACGCACTTGTCTGGTTTACAGTTACACAGATAACACAGCATAGCCAATAAGCTGTCCTTGGCTATCCTGGAAAATTTAATGAAAATTTAAGTCTCTTCAGCATGTGACAACTTTCATAACGGTGCTAAAAGCATTAATGAAAATTGAAGTGTGAAAAATGTACATTCTTTATTCTGCTGTTTAGATACAGAATAAAATTTAACTTTTTCAGAAAATAAAATTATAGCTACAGCTTTGAGAGCTGTCAATTTGCTTTCGAGGATAAAGTACATGCACTTTTTCCAGTTATTTTATTGCACATAATGTACAGTCATAATTGGTGTTTTATTTACATGTGTTTTGGCAATGTCCATGTGGCCTCCCCCCCTCCCCCAAATACATTATTTTGCACAAACAAAACTTTAAATGTTTCACACAAATTGCCATAATACAAGTAGAAGCATATATGTATATATGTATACTTTTTAAAATTAATTCTTCCAATGAGATTCACATCTCAGCTAATCTCTGCCTCGGGAGTCAGGTTCCTCCCCGTTAGTCAGTCGTCAGATGGACATCCCAGCTGCAAGGAATCAGCACTGCAAGTCACCGCCTGCTGTGCCTCCCACCCACTCCTATGCAGAACCAAACCACCTGCAATTAGTGCGCAGGCACATAGAAGGAAGAGCACTGTACTTTTGCTAACCAGTTTGATTCAACATTGATTACCATGTGTTAATGTTACTGCTTGTGTTATTTGAACGGTATTTCATTAATAGTGTTTTAGGAAAATGTATCAAATATATTCAAAACAAGTTCCAATAACAATTATGAACTTTCACCACAGGAATGTGTTATTCAGATTTCATTCTGTACAATGTGCTAGTTACAGTGACTGCTACTATTACCCAAATATGAGTATATGAAACTTAAATTATTCGTAAGCATGCTTCTCCCAAGTTAAAATGATCTCTTAATGGACAGCAAAACACTTCAATGCTTCCCTGCATTTTCAGGTCAGAAAACTTTTTAGTGGTCCCCCTCAAAGAGTCCATCTAGAAATAAACCATTATGCTTTTACATACTTTTTAGAGGTCTGTTCAAATAAATATCAGTATCGTCAGCATATTTCATTAAAAATATCTGAAAGACATCCCTGAAGACTCTATAAAGTATTTCCTAAATTGCTAACAGAAAAAAACTATCAGAGAAGTAAAATTTGTTATAATTTGCACAACATTTCACTTAAGAAATCAATAGCACTGCTCAGGTTATATTTTAAAAGGCATTGTGGTGTTTTTGCTTATATTCTGAGCTATTTACAAGAAAAAAAAAATGTTTCTCCTAAAATTAATCCATGTTACTGGACAGACCAGCAATTCTATACATGTCTTGAATGTAAGATCTTTCAAATGTAAAGTGAATTTAACCACGGAAGAAAATAAGGAACAATCCAGCTTCAGTGATGCTGAAATACTGAAGGCATCCTCCCACAAATACAGTTCTAAAAATAGCCTGTTTCTTTTCAATAAGCAAAGTATAAAATAAATGTTCAGGCAGGCATTTAATGTAAACTGAGAAATCCATTTGATGGTCAAAAGCAATTATTATAAAATTTGGATTTTAAGGGCTTCCATTATTTTGCTTTCTTTCTGCTTTAAAATACTTCAGAATTTAGGGCAATTCTCAGGACTTTAAAGAATGAGATGAAAATGCACTGTGGACCAAGTATGACAGTAGTTCACATCTAATGAAAAATAGAAAGCATTAGAAACATTGAAGAAAAAGTAGTAGTTTTAGGAATAGAACTATTTTTCAATACATAACATCAATTATTTATCCTATCTGAATAGTTTCACTTACACTGGAGAATGCTTCACAGAATTTAAATATGCGCCTCTGATGAAACATTCAAAGGATATAAATTAGTGACTCTGAAATGACACTCGTGCCATCACTTAATCAAAGTTTCCTAATGTTATCTGTTGAAAATGCCTTTTTTTGTTGTTTCATCATCTGCCTGTGACTGACTTTTAGGATAGCAGCATGTTTGTGATCTGTTCAAATTTCTGTACAAGTGAAACTATTCTAAATATACTGATAGAAATCTAACTGTACCTATGAGTTTCTGTAGAACAAACTAAAAGCTACACATCCTTATAAAACAAACATCTTCATCGTGGCTCACTTGTTTTTCTTCCATAAAATAAAGATGCATACAATTTCAATTATTATCAATACTGGAAGAACTTCTTAAGATTTTATATCGCGTGGACTTTGAAATGCTTAGTTTGAAACACCATAAATGTTGAAAAATCTCCTTATCTGAATTTTTACTATAGACACGAAAATAAATGGGGTTTTTCACCAAGGCTGTTGATATCTGAAGAGTGATCTACATCAACAGTCTCCTTTGACATTAGCTGTAATGACTGTTCCCCTTAAGATTGCAAAACTACCCATGCTGTGGAAAGGAGCCTCAGACAACAGAAGCGGCAAGAGAAACGTTTCCGTAAAAATCATCTGCATAGAGGTACAATCAAAACAGCGTTTTCCCCGTTTCGATTCCCTGCATTCATGTTGCTACAGTCATCCGCAGGGATAAAGATTACATAAAGGCAGACATGGGATTTGAAATGGCTGTTGCTTGGAAATTTAGTGAAAGGTGTGTTTTTATACTTTCTACAGTCATTAGGAAATGATCCGTTCTGACCTTTGGCTTACAGAAATTGTACTCCCCTGAGCTATGTAATACTGATAGACTATAGCAGAAGTACAAAATATTACATGAAAATAGCACGGCATGAAGAAAATAAGGCACTTTTGACAAGGGAATAAAAGAAGATTTTGTATTTCAACGTACTGCTAATCACATCTAGATGTATTTTGTGCTTGGAAATGTACCATGATGCAACAGGTGCCCAAGCCATCCAATCACCAATTGCAACAAGATTAACTGCAACCTCTGAATGGTTCAACAAAGAATCAAACTGGTTTCTGTACACCATCATGATTTACCAATACACTGGCATCTATGCTCTTTTGCTGTGAGCTGACAGTAATTATTTTAGAGAAAGAAGAAGAAAGTGTGGAATTAGTAATGCAGATGCTGAAAGGCAAGTGGCAAGACTACAAGAAGAATGCCTCAAAAAAAAAAAAAAAAAAAAGCTACTTTGTTCCCTTATCTACTGGCACCTAATCCCCAAGGTAAAAGGCCAGAACGACCAAAGCCAACTTAATAGTAGTGTGCAGAATGTCAGCCGACAAACAACATAAAAACAAGTCACGTTGTGTTATCTGTGGTCACGTTCTTCAGGGTTAGTCCAGTAACTCAAGACTTTACATTCTTCCGTCTTTATTCGTTTACTTTAATTAAACATGTAATGGTTAATAAACAGACATAGTCCAGAGTTAGTAGGTTGGTATTATAACATTTATTAAAATAATGCTATGGGTTAATAGAAACAGCAAAGAACCAAAGAATTAAAATGCAAGCTATGTAAAAACCCAACTAAAACCCAAATATGTCTAATGTATTCATCCAGTAGCTAACTAAAAGCCCAAGAAAGACAACACTCCCAATATAATAAAGTACTGCAAAACAATTGGCAATTTCTCTGTTATCAAAATTGTGGGTTTTGCATTTTGTATCCTTTTTTTCTCAATCAGGAAAAAAATTCTTTTTGAATGTTATATAACATACATATAAAACAAGATAGAAAAATACATTATAAACTTGTAACAATGGCTGTAAATACATTATCTTACATGTTTCTCATAGGCAATAGGTTGGTTATGGTACATACATAGCATGAAACTACTAAGATAATAAAGAACAGACAAATACATGTCATCTGTACGGTTACATACAAGCGACACTCCCATCTACCCACTCTAAAAAAAAATTACATAATACTGTCAGAAAGAAGTCTTAAAACTACTTATTTTAATAAAGAAAAAGTCATTAAAGAATGATAATACTGAGAACCAAGGCATTCAGAGATTTCAAAAGTCATGCTTTTTTTTTTCCTAAGTTGATCCAAAATTTTGTCAACTAAGTTTTCAGAAAATTTGTTCAGAGCAAACATTACTTTCACATGTCACACATCTGTTTCACATACTTCCCCTCCCTCCCAATAAAAGACCTTTGATAAACATCTAAAATGTCCACGTTTTATCATAGTTGAGATGAAACTGGATCAAATACTGGTATTGTTTCAGCAAATCTCTCTTCAAATGTTTGAGTGTCGCAAGTTTATTCAACCAACCAACCAAAAAAAAAGAATCAAAATGGCACAGTATATACTGTAAGTAAAATTCAACAATGTATGTGTAACAGGAAGACAAAGCCGGTGGTACAATAAACAAAAAGCTAGCTGAATACAAAAGGATGAATGTCTATTGCATAGTAAATAAACTGATAATTATTTCCAGGTGAGACAAGATGTTAGATGAGGTCACCATGCAGGTGCTTAAAATGTAAGCCCTCTTAGCTTACTATTGAACTTTCGTTTGGAAGCTGTGAAGATCTGCAGGAGGAGAGTAAGTTGACAAGAAGGGGAGTAAAGTTATCACCTGATATTTGCCAAGCTTAGTACTGAGCTCCACACAAAGTAATACTTAATGTTTTTAGATTCAAATACTGTGCGTTCAACAGCTTCAACTCCTGTGATTGCCCAGCTATATCAATCTCATGTGAAAGTAAGGGTTAAAAATACAGCATAGCTGGGCTTCAAACAGCTAACTGATGTCCCCCTCCTGCTTATCTTGCGAAAGAAAGCCAGTAGGCAAATGTAACATTAATCAAAGGAGAGCTGAAAAATAAATTACTTGCTTACTGCTTGACACTGCAGAAACTGCTCACAAAAATGGGGGACATGCTCAGACCTTAACTGAGGACTAGCTAAGCACTTTCGTTATCCACAGAACACCAGTTTTCTGGATGACTCTGAAGTCTACTATGTCTGATGCATATTTATTCCAACCAAAGTCAAGAAAACTTGTCTCCATCCCTGAACAAAAATGAAATTCTTCCAGCTCTACCAACGTTTCTCAGCTAATAGCCTAATTTAGAATAAGACAGTCTGTATCACAGAACCTTTGGTTTACGTTGCACAAGTAGTGTATTAGCTCTGATTCGTAAAGCAGAGTTGTGGAAGTAACTATGGGCTGATTTGACAAAAACTTACCAAATGTTTTTCCTAATGTGGTTATGGCAAAGTCACATCACACTAATATGGCAAAAATCAGGTAATTAATATGGTCAACTCATCATTTGTCTTTCCTCACAGCTTCTTTTCACATACTGGGCGACTGAGTGGCATGCAGTAACTTGTCTGAGGGAGAAGATGATTATACAAGACATTTGACTAAATGACCATGAAGAAAATAAGGCACTTCCTTTTCTTTAGACTTATTCCAATACTTAAAAAATAAAAAAGAAAGACTAAAAGGCTCTTTTGGTCTTTTGTTTCTTGACAACCACCAGAAAAAATCATTTAATGAAATAAAGGGTTTCTTTGTTCTTTTTTTCTTTTTTTTTTTATAACACTTGAAAGTATAAAATGCTACATTTCCAAAAATATATTTTTTTTCTGCACCAGCACCCTTGTATAGTAAAAGTATCTACTTTTTTGTTCATTTTGTTTCAATGCACTACATTTTATCTACAATTTCGTTACATGTATACAGCAAATAGGCAAGCATGGCTTTTACATCCTTAATGAAATTTTTTCTATACAGGGAGGTTTAAAAAAAAATATTTGAACAGTTTGCCCAGTAATGTGACACATAATGCATGTACCTTGTTCTCATGTAATCTTCCGAGGAGATTAAAATATGGTTAAAATAATTTAAACTCAGATTTAGCTTTCATAGTGTTGCTGTTTTGTTCACGGCATTGATGTAGTTCTGAAAATTCACTGTATTTCATGGCACTCTTTTTATTTTTTTATTTTTTTAAAACATCCAATTTGGCAGGCAATAGAAAAAAGGCTGCAACTTCCGCCCTTTGAGGGCACTGGTAGTGACTAAACAGCATGTCAAATTTTGAATACTTTTTGGAATCCCTTCACCAATGACATCCCTGACCAAAGGTTCATGCATGATGCATCATCACACAGTACATTCAGAGAGAGCTTTGACTTCTTTTTTGAGAAGAAAAATATTCCTAGAAGTCTCTCACAGTAACTGCCTCTGTCATCGGTAGTTAAGGGACATCTGTCTCCATCTTGTGCGAGGCCTCCTTACCGTTCGCTTGGGGCGGGATGCTAGAGGATGATCAGTGCGGAGGGATGAATTGGACCTTATTGCTTTACTACTATTCAGTGCAGGTTCTAGAACCACTTTCACCCAGACAGGAGAACACAAAAAAGCGGAGTTGGAGGACAACAATTTCTTTGTCTGTTTTGTTAGATGGTAAGACGAACGGACAAGTGCCCCAGCTCGCTGCACTGAAGACAGGCAAGCAAAGGCGATTACCAGTTAACTGATCAGCAGGCAGGCATGGTCAGGTCATCATTGGGTGAAGAGTTCAGAGGTCAGAAGGTCATAGGTTAGTTGCCGGTGGCGGCTGGGTGGTTAGGAACAAAAAAAAAAAAAACAAAAAAACAAAAAAACAAAACAAAAAAACAAAAAAAAAACAAAAAAAAGAAAGAAAAGATAGAGAAGAGATTAGTTCCAGCTAGTGACGGCTTAATGACAACATGAAAACTAATCACAACTAATAAAAAACAAGCATGTTTAATTCTGACATACTGATCGACACCATCTACGGAATGCAATAAAATCATGACAGCCCTCCATCATGATTTGGACACGGGAAGGAGAAGCCCGCTCCCACAAAACCGGTTAACAGGAGAAATAGAGATAAAAATACAACTAACGACTAATGGTTAGTAGCAGTCGATGAAGGAAATTGGAAAACAAAAACAATGAACAGTTTTGGAACTCAGTTGGAAGAATTTGGAAACAACAGTCAGTGCACGGCATCAGTATCTGACTGCTATTAAGCATTAGTACCTCCCCAGGTGCAAGCATTAAGCAACTATTAATGATGGATGTGATTATTAATAACTGGTTGTTAAAAGAAATGGATCTGAGGAATTCTGAACTTACAGAAACAATTTGGTTCAACAAACTAGGGGCCAAACAATGTTTTTTTGTTCAATAAATTTTTTATTGCCTTTCATTTATTCTATTTACAAACAACATGGAATTTCTTGGCCTCATGATACAAAGCAGTACTAAACTGTAGTCTAGCAACGTAGGCATCATCATGGGAACCAGGAAAACGCTCAGGCTGCTACTTTAGCCAGCATCTTCCCGTTCCAAATACTATTTTACACATATAGGACACTTATAAAATGCACTTGCATGTAAACACTGTAAAAGTCCTGCCATTTTAAATTCTATACTTAAAAAGCTCTAAGTACATCAAAAAATAGAGAAAATATCTAATTGATACTAATAAGGCATTTTAAAACTACAAACAGCTCTCTTTATTCATTTTCAAAGCTAATACTCTGCAAATACAATAAAATCTGACATTTCATATACATTCCTGCTTTATATTTTTATATTTTAAAAGAAGCCACCTGTAAATACTATTTTCTTTTGCAAAAAAAAAAAAAAAAAAAAAGAAAGAAAAAAGAAAAAACAAAACAACAACAACAACAAAAAAACAACCCAAAAACACAAACAAATTACAGTAAAACATAAAAAAATTCTCAAGTGGAAAGTTATCATTCCCAATGTTCTTGAGCTGTTCCTTCTTTAATCATTCTCTCACGCTCTCCTTCACCAAACTTGGTCCACTTAACAGTAGTATGATTTTTTTTTTATTTTTTATTTTTTAAGACTCATTCAACAGCTTAATCATAGCTAATAAATTCTGAGGTTGATAAAGTTTTGTACTGTTGCCATTTTGACTAAGGCAGAGGAGATGAAAGTGAGAAAGGTATTCAGTGCAAAGTCAGATTTGTGCCATTTCAATAAAATGAAGTCCAGTAGGTGTAATATTCACAGATAGCATTGATTTAGCAATCTTCTCATGGGTTGATTTACCTTCACATAACAAAAATGGCCTATCATTTAGGATACAGTTCATAAATGCTAAAAAAAAAAATGACTACTGTAACATAAATGAGACCACATGCTCCCTGATTTTTTTCAGAATCCTGCTAACTGGGATTTGTTTAAATTAAAACGGCTGTTTCAAAAAGAAGCAAAAATAAAAATAAATATTTATGTGGCACAATCTCACCACTTTATAGGTATACTAGAGACACAGACTCTTAAAGCATTTTGATACTGATTACAATTTTGATTAAATGGTATTAAAATTTATATATAAATTATGTGACAGTTGGTTTGGATATAACATTCAAGAATATTCTGAGCATTATTATTTCTTGTGGAGTCTATAACCAAAGCAAGCTACCTTTTAAAAATACCAGTACACCTGTGATACATCCTCTGCCAAGTCTCTGGCCTTCTACAGTACACACAGGTTTGTCAACTGTGCAACACCATTTACAGTTTATTACAATTAAATCAGTCAGTCTCTCTGTTATATGCATCAAATTCAATTTTGTATTATTTATAAATTGGGGTTTTATTCTTAGTTAAAATGAGCTATATTTTTCAACCCTTCACCAATTCTAAATGCTTAGTTGTAAAGAGTAAAACATTTACACATTCCGGGATTCTTGCTTTAAATGCAGTGCTTATCTCTAAAAAAACCTATGCAAAGAGTAAAAACCTACTTAAAAAGTGAATGCAGTAGTACTACCAAGTCATCTGAAAATCGATTTAGAATTAAACAAAGAAACAAACAAACAAAAAAAAAACAACAGAAAAAACTTTAGACCCAGTGAATGCAAATATAGTTTTAGCAACCTTTAACTACGTGAAACACATTTCTGTATTGAAAAAAATATATATTTCGGTTTGCTGACATTGTTTTTCATGGCTATAGCTATAGATGTGTTATCAGTGATTGAACAACTCAATAGATGAACATGATAAATATTTACTATTTTAACTCTACAACATAATTTTAACACATTCAAGAGTCTGCCTCATTCCCAAACAATGCTTTTCAAAGCCTTTTGCAAAACTGTTAAAACTGTCAGGGATAATCTAGGATTTCGGATTCAGAATAAAATGAAATAAAGTTGTAAAGTTAATTTTATGTAACATTCTTAAGACAACACCGGTATTGCTTAGACGAGACTAAAAGTTTACCTGAAATATCAGCATGGTTTTCAATGGAGACAGAGGTATACATGACTTATTTCATAGGAGCTAAGCCACCTGAATTTATTTATTTATAATACAATTGGCTTCAAATATGGTTAGAGAAGAACACTGTATTATCAGAAAGTGGCTATATTTTAAAAGAAGGTAAAACAAAACCAGTAACTTTTTTTCAGTGACTTGTAAGTGGCAACCCCAGACAAAACACCTAGGCCCTTCAACAAGTATTTAATATATGTTGACTAAATGCTACCATGATGAAAGCAAACAAAAAATTGGAATGCTTCTCCCACTCTGTACTTTAACATTGTGTTTACTAGTTGTCTCAGGTAAATATCCATCTAAACAAGTAGTTTTTGGGTAGCCTGAAGCTATCATTGCAGATCAAAATGATCTTAAGCAAAAACCGATCTTTGTAACATCAGGTTAAACTTTTAAAGATAACCAAATCCTAACATATATCACACTTGACAGAATATAGGTTATAATCTCTTTTTCTCTTTGTCAACATTTGCTATGACCAGATATTCTGACTATGCCTTGTTGCCCATTGAAGAGCTTTCAAGAAATAAGAAGAAACCTTCTGAAAAACCTACGTAGTGTCTTGTTACATCTTTGTAAAGCATATGTTCTTTCCATATGAAAGGTAAAAGTGTTACATAAACACAGCAAGTATCCAGGAGGGCCATTTTTTAATGTATTGATTGAAATCTGTATTGTTTCTTGTAGTAAATTCATAGGAGATTGCGAGAAATAAAGTATAGTCAGCACTAGGGGATGTCAGATCTGTCACCGGAATTTGGCTTCTGAGTTTTTCACTATCATATAAGCCTGCACAGCACTGATTTTGATGAGAGCAGAATAATAATACTTGGCACATAAAGCTTTGTATCCTCAAAGCCATGTACAAACAGGAACCCCCACAACACCCCTGTGAGGTAGGGAAGTATTATTATCCTTATTTTACAGATGGGAAAACATTCACAGAGGGATTAAATGACTTGCTGAAATCCACACTGAGTCAGCAGCAGGGACAGGATAAGAATTCGGGAGTTCCTGTGCTCAGCCTACACTGTTTATTAGCCAATGTCAATAAACCGAAAATATTGGTTTTCTCAATAAGCTTAAATACTTCATTCAGGGGTCCAAAGGCATCACGTTTGAGGAATGGGAGAAAAATGAAGATTTACTTTCCAGTCAAGAGTTATAAGAGAGATGCCCAAATATTGGATGTCATCTCACCAACAGGACTTCAAAAGTTGCCTCTCCTTCAGGTTACGCATTTTAGCAGCAAGAGGTAAAAACCAGGAAACAGAGTTTGGCAGAAAACCAAAACACCTTCCCTTCCCTCATCCTTATTAATTCAAACTCAAACAACTTTTGAAGTGTTTTCTTCACAGCCCTTATGTTTCTGAATTCAGTTAGGTATCTGAGAACATGCATCCTCCTCAAAATATACAGTACAGTGGCTCAAAAGTTTATTGGAAAAAAAAGGAATCTAAATCTTCAAATTTCTCCAGACACAGACAGGAGGCATTTATTCCTTTACTTCTTCCTCATTAAGCAACCATCCATTCATTTTATTTTGCAACACCAATCTGATATTTCCACACCACTTAAAAGAACACATTGGAGGGAGAGGAGGGAACACAAATTAATCACTGCAGCACTTAACTTATAGGGTTTCCTGATGCAGATGGATCTTTAAATAGTTTTAAAATAGGAAATATGTTATAGCTTTTATATTAAATATACAACAAAGTGTATATATTTAATTGAGCCGGGAAAGGCAGGTTTACAAAACATTTTTTATAACCACAAATATTCCCTAAGCTCTAAAATATTAAATATTCACATTTTTGTGAAAAAAGTTATGAATGGGACAAAGTATGGTTTTTGGTTAACCAGCTGTGGTGTTGCAAATCTCATGTACACTCAAAGCACTTCTTACAAACAAGAACTCCAGAACTAAACTAACCTCGGTCTGCGGTCACAATCCTTTGGTAAGGATGGACACGCATATCGTGCCTTCGAACTTTAGTAGCCACCGCACCTAGTTAAATTGCAATTATCAAGACAAAGTTAGAAAACATTCAAAGAAAACATTAACAGCAGGTTTATCAAAATGGATTTAAATGATCATTAACTACAAAAGTTCATTTTAAGAAAAGCAACAAGTTAAGGCACAGTAGTTTCAAATTTTAACCATAAGAAGTTTATCTGTGCAGATTAATATTGCATTTATTTTAAACATCCTGGCCTTAACCTGTTTAATCCATTCATTTACAATCCCAAAATTACAGTATTTCATGAAATCTATTAGACCCAAGCACATTTAAGCTTTACTAGTCACATATTCACTGAAGTGCCTTTCTTGCAGCAGGACTATTTTAAATAATGCCATCTTTTAATACTGACAATTATTTGCTAACTTTAAGATCATTTCCAGTTCTACCACAAAAAAGAAGTTTTAAAGCAATTCTTCAAGCCTACAGATTGTGATTTTATACTTTAAGTCAATAAGTATGAACTGCAATGAATTAGGTGATTAGTAAAGCAAACACTATATAGAACACTTAGCAGTCAGTATACTACTATACACTCATAAATTACAGCTACTCTGTAATAATAGGGGCTAATCCAAATTAATAGCACTATTTTATTTTAAATCTATGTGCAAAAAAGTGCAAGTAAGTCACTGACTGCTAGGCCAAGCTTTTCTCAAGGCTGCTGAAACTAAGCATTTGTTAAAATTCAGATCTGATGAAGGATCAGTTAAGACCGTTCTTGAATTCTTAGCCTTTCGTTGGGAAAGCCATACCTAAAGATAAAAGGAAGGGAATTCAAAGTTAGTCACCAACTAAAATTTGATTCCAACACCAATATCCCTGAAAATACTCAAAGGGATGCATTCCTGTTATTTTTAACGGAATTGTTTGAAGGTACCTTAAAGGTGCAGTAGAAAATGGACAAAATATATAACATTACTCATGAACATATTATGAAGAATATTATAATACTATTTTACTTGATAATATACTCATGAGTATGTTCATGAGTATACTATGAAGTAAAACTCAACCAAAAACTCAATTAATTAATTTAAATCAATGCGAATGCTCAGATAATAGAGCAGATTTCATATACTCACTGATTCCATGCTACATGCAAACAGGGGTGTGGTGATTTTTTTTTCTCTCCTTTTTCCTTTTTTAAATCAGACTATTTAGAGAGAACCATTTTAGGCTACACACTTCACTCCCAGTTGTGCCTAGAAGAGTGCAATTGCATCAGCTGCCTTTTGGGAGTGATAGTATAAAAGTATGCAAAATTTTGTGAGAAATCAGTGGAAGTTCCCTGCACAGTATTAACTTATTACTGTTTCTCTACTTGGCATTAACTAAACTCAGAAGGGAAGATTGCCTGTAACTGCAACTCCACCCCCGGGGACATTGCAAGTGCCACAGTAAGGACTAACAAATCAGGGTGGCGGAGCTGGGAAGAGCATGCACTTGTTTATAGGATATAAATAAATAATGACATTATCATACAGTCATTAGATGTTGGCTATGAGATGGTGCAAAACAAGATGCCCAAAGACAGACCTAACGAATAATTCTGCCCTATTAAAACTTCTACTAGTGCCTCACTAATCCTGAAAGGGAAAAGTCTTAAATACATTTTGTTTTTTACTGCGTAACGGGGAAATGCACACAAACAGATAACAACTCTTCATCATTTAAGTGAAACACTGATTTTTTGCAATACTTTCAACAAAATATTGACTTTGAACCTTATTGTCCAGTGTTCATTAGAGATGTTTAGAATCTGTGTAAATCAATAACTGCCACTGAACAAGCTAAGATCAAAGTTCTATAAAATCAACATTATGCAGTGCCAAGGTCATATGCAATTCAGAACAAACTAACAAGAAAAGATTATTTATATTCTGCAGACAGAAGGAACGAAGTCACTATAGGAACTGCTCGTTCCACATTGACTGGTTAACTGAATTGTCAAGGCTGCTTTATCATTTTCGCCTTCGAACAGCAAGTCAATGTTCTGAAATATTAGAAATGATGGACATTTCAACACAATGTATCTAAATAAAAGCAATCAAAGTTGCTAACTGTATCATCCAATGCTCAGAACTTTTGTTTCCTTTATATTTATTCACAGAAAATATTTTCTGCTTACAAAATGATTTACAGCTGAGGAGAGATGGATCAAATGTGTTCTAAATAAAGAATAAAACCCAAACAAACTGAAAAAAACATCTTTCAACTTTCTCCAGTTTAGCTACTAAAAAGATACTACAAAATCAAAATTTCATTTTTCCAATGATTGCTGGAAACTTACGCTGAAGTTGCCACAAAGAAATCCAGTACTGATGGGAGAACAAATTACATACAATAGACACAAACGTATATTTATTTTTTCTTGCCTTGTACCTACTATCTCATGACACATAAACATTAAGATTTTGTTTTCAAAAATCTTACTAATATGCTAAACATACACATTTAACAATGCAAAACATATTAAAATGTCCACCATCAGTCTTCCTTGGCAACTGTGATATCTTTGAGGCAATGGTGTGTGTGTGCACTCTGTTGTTTTTTTTTTCTCTTTAAGCCCCATGACTTCTAGATGCAAATACCATGAAAGCATACAATGCATTCTGCAGTCATGCATGGATAAGAGTCTTACCTAATACACCACTAGGTTCAATGGGATACTCAAGGATTGATGTAGCTGGTGCCAGCGTGTAGGGGTACTCGTACGGGGTGTAAATTAAACCAGCTTCGGGTCCTGGTGGCACTATTGCAGCGGTGGGATGAGGAGTTCCGTTTGGCATGACAGCGGTTTGTATTTGTCTGATCAAAGGCATTATGGTAGGGCCAGCTGGCGTAGGAGTACGCAGGGCAGCTGGTGGGAGAACAGGCGCAGGCCCAGTAATGATCCTTGGAGCCTGGGCTGTTGCTGCAAGAGAAAAGGCAAGGGCTGCTACAGTAAGCAAAGAAATTCAGAGGAAAGTATGGAGATAGCAGTACAAAACGTGGAAAGAATGGGAAAAAAGGGGAAAAGTAGGAAAGAAGAAAAATAAAAGGAAATCATTAGTACATGCGCTGATCACACAGTGCCAAAGCACACCATTCAAATGCAAACAGCTTTCCATTTTCCAGTGTGATTAAGTATGAACATGCAAAATAAAAAAGCCATTGTAAAACAGTGAGGTAGATTTCTCAAACAGGTTACACAGCACAAAAGCTCCATTTAGACCACATTTCTTCATTTATGCTATAAAGACTGCATGAGACTGAGATGCATGCAGGAGATACAAGGAAAATACTTTCATAATCAAATACAGAGTACAAAATGTAGTGCAACTACAGAGTCCACAGATACTCAGTTATGCAGAGCTACCATAGGAGAGTTCTAAGGTTCTGGATCTCTTATGTTGTATTTAAACATATACACAGTTCCAGTTTCCAGCATCAGTGAAATTAAAGAGGATCCAGAAACAAAACACAATCTCCTCTCCTACCATACCATGAACAAAATACTCCAAAATTATTTTCATGACACATTCTCCAAGATAAAATGTTTTCTTTCTTTCTTTTTTCCTTTTCCATATTCAATTGCTATTTGAAGTCTGCTGGCATACAAAACAAACAACTTCTTAATCACTAATACAGATCAGCTGGTAACAGTCAAACTAAAGTATTCGTTGTAAAAAGTGTCTGTACACTAAAGCTGATCTACATTAATGTAATTAACTTACAGGTGGTCTGAAAAGAGAAATGAGAAACGTGTGGAAAGATTTTCAGATGAGAGGGTGGAGTTTGTAGATTTTTTTTTGTTTTCTTTTAAACAAAAATGCTCAATGCAAAAACTAAAAAAAAAAAACTTTGAACATTTTCAATTCCTTTTTTCATCTGAAATACATTACCATGGATTCTATATCTTAAGTTTTCAGTAAAGACATAATGCAAACAATGAAAATGTCTTATTATCAAAGAGTGAATATTAGCATGGAAATATCTAGTCAGAAAATTGAAAAAAACATCATCCCACCTACACTTAAGATGGACCAATGGGAATAGAGCAGACAAAGAAATTACTCAAATTAATATAAAGGTTTCTATGCAACAACTTGCACCAATATAAACTAAAAGTTGTTTTACTCATAAATTTGCAATAAATTGAAGACTCTAATAGGTTTAAAATGGAGCTAGCTTTAGATATTATGGTATTAATTAGGAGGTGAAGACTTATCACCATCACCGTGGTGTTGAAAGCCCTTTGCTTATGTACCCTTTCCAATCAGAATAATTACACTGGTAATAAATGCTCTCAAATTGACCTAACTGCATTCCAACCTTTAAGCGCATTCAACATTGAAATGGAGTTTATGTGGAGAAACAAATTTGCAAATATCAGTAGGCCCTTAGTGAAAAAGCTGACTTCACTGCCCCTACATTTGATATCAATATCATAGCTACAGAAAAAGTTTACTTTGGAAGAGCATCAGAAATTATGTTTTCAGAAGTAGAAATTAGATTTTAAACTAGAGAAAATAGTTTGTGTCACACATAATACACATACATATGCTGTCATTAGTTGGTGTATATAATTAATTTTTAAGTGTAAATGTGCACATACATGTGTTTACAAAAGCATTCTCACGCAAATCTAATGGAAGAAATTGTAAAAATGGCTCATTACATCACTGATCCCTGTGAACTCAGGAGTGAAATCAGTTGAATTGCTGGAAAAAACGTAACATTGGGGGGATACATGCAAGCAAGATGAAAGGAAGGAATATAATACAGATAAATGTATTCACAGTATCCTGAACATGTGTAATATTTTCAAACTGATTATTCGATAATAAAACTGAAAAGGTGTCATATACATATTAAGGAAAAAAAAAAGACTGTAAAATTGAAAAATCTGGCTTAAGGGTCACATTTTGTTTGAATTATATATCTGTAAAATATTTCAACTCAAACTTTTTTTTTTTTTTTTTTTAATGAGAAAGAGAAAACAAAAATCAAACAAATACAAAGCAAATAGCAACAACAAAAAACACCCAAAACCTGGCGAAACTTATCTCCAAGAGACCCCCTGCAATGGCCACCTACTGTTCTGGTTTATTTATTTATTTAACAGTGCTTTCCATTCTCCAACTCAGTGAGTCCATTTTCCAGAAAGCAGGCTTAGGAATCAAACCTTACGAAAACACTAGTGTTGCACTGACCCTCAAGATTATAACATGCTTACGTGATTTGATGTTGGCATCTCTGTAGGTGCCATTCAGAATTGCAAGCTCCATCAGCTGCATCTTTTTAAGGCTGTCTTCTCCTTCTGCCTGCATATGAAAAGATAGGAAGAAAGTTTAGGTTATTAATTCACTAGTGCATAAGATCTAAGAGAGCTAGAATAAAACACCTTCAAGTTTTAACCAAGGAAAACATCTGCTTACCCATTCATCTAAAAAACAGTAAGTTTTTATAACTTCTCATTGAAATTAAGTCCAAATTGCCTATTGTCTACATTAACTAATACTGATATGTATCTTAGAGAGTTTTGCAAAAGACTCGTGCCAAAATTATAAAAACTAAGGTTAAATTCATTTTTTTTCTGAAGTTTTATTATGACAGTTCATATACTCCTGAAGTACCTTCAGAAAGTCCTATTAGCAGATAAGAAGAAGAATAGACACCACAATCTTTTTTTGCAACTTTATTTTAATATGTACCTACATAAGCAATACTGACTGACTGCTTCAGTAAAAAAAAAAAAAATTATTTGAGAACTTTGCAAACATCAACAACTGCTGTAAAAAGGAAGGAAGTCAGAATTTTGAAATATAGACATTCTCTGATGAGGATATATCTATCATCTATACAGTATACATTATTCCTAAGTTTGGTTTCAATATATCTCAAGTTACCTACTTTCTATGGTATCCTGCAATTTCCATAAATATTATGTAGTATTTAGTAAAAAAAAAAAAACCACCACCAACAAAAAAACCTACCAACCCTTCAGAAAAACCACTCACTTTTTTAGATACTAACAACAACAACAAAAAAGCTATAATTAGTACCATTTACTATTTGAAGGCTAGACATTTTCAGATTTGTTTTTCCTGAAATGCTACCATTTGTTTAGACTACATTCTATCAACCAGAAAACAAGATAATGGCATATGAAATCCATGAGATGGTCATCAGTATCTACTTTAATGCTGAGATACCACCTTGCTTCTCATATTCTCTACCACTTCTGAAAGTCTCACTCAGAGGGGAAAAAGGGGCAGCTTACATGTCCCCTGCATTGATTTTCAAAGGTAATGACAGCCTGGATACTGTGCTACCTACTTTGAAAGACGGTCAGATTCCAGAGCCAGTTGTTCGCCTGTGTGAAACTACAACTCCAACAGGTGGTTTTAATTAGGCCTTTGAAGAGCACAGATGATTATGGAAAGCAGAATTAAAAGCCACAAAGAACAGCAATCACCACCAATAATCTAAAAACTATACTACTAAATAACTCCACTATAAAACCATAGCACTGAAATATCTCATACCAGTTAGGAGTTGAAAGAATATTCATGTTCAGTGGACCCAAAGTATATGGAAAAAAAAATTCAGACAAATTTAAAATAAAAGATTGTTATGCATACTTAACTTCCCAAACATGGAGAAGTAACTTATTAAATTACAATGGGGCAAAAAAAATGTATTGAACAAAATAAACTACTTCGTGTGATTGCTGTTCAAGGATCCCCTGCCCCCAGTGGAAGTAACATCTGATTTTTATTTTTATTTATTTTTTTTCTCAGATCAACAACTTAAAATCAGCACAGTAGATGAGTCAAGACTAAATCACTTTTGGATGTCAAAAACTGAAGTCCCAACTGTAATACTGAGGATTTACCTGAACACAAAGATTAAACACATTAACAATTTATGTTGTTGCTATGCACGCAGAATATAATGGAAGAGTTAGACATTATTGTATTTATATATTAAATACCGTATGACAGACTGAACTAATGCTTATATTGAAAAAGTAAACACACATTCAATTAGCATTTTAACTACAAATTAATTGTACAGTTAAGCACTGTGCTAACCAGAAACCTCAGATTACACAGTCATTAGAATCAGACTCTCTGGAATACAAAATGTACTGATTATAGTATGCTTAATGTGAAATCCTCAGAACAGACTTACAACTGACATGTAAAGAATTTCTGTTTTAAATTTATTTTTAAAGATATTCTTACTCCATTGCATCACTGCTGGTAAGTTATCTGTACTGTGTAGTCAACCGTCATGCAATAAAAACAATTCCAAATCTATTGTTCTACCCAAAGACTGAATCTATTAATTCTAGTTTTTCTGGATACAGCTTCATTCTTCAAATTTATTTTAGCAATTGTGATTTTTTACATATTAATTCCCCTTTTCTCCTCCACCCTTAACGGTTATTCTTTGCTATTGTTTGTTTGTTTGGTTGCTTTTTTCGCTTGGGTTTATTAACTGAATGCAAGTAACCAGAAAAGCCCTCCCAGTGTCAGCTGTATCTCCCATACTGCTATGTATGTAAAATTGCATACTTCCTCCAAATAAGAGTTCAGGTGATTGATCTGACACTATTAATGAGTCTCAGTAAATGCTGAATCTTTCATTTCATTTGATAGGATAATTTTAGTAACTCTATTGTCCTGGATTTTAGACCACGGTGAACGTTTTCCAAATGTAGCTATTTATAGGACAAAAACTTGAAGACATAAAACATTTTTTTTTTTCCTTCTGAGAACCTCAAAAGAAGGAGTTATAGCAACTTAAAAGCAATAAAACCCAGACAAAGTGATCCATTTACTTTGGATCTTCAATATTCCTATAGGTCACTATGCTTTCTATGAGAAAAGATGTGGCAGTTACTTGGATTACAAAGTACGTTTACAAAACTAAGAGCAGTCTTTAGCATACAAAACAGACTGAGACCTTCATTTTTATTCTGCAGATTTAATTCTCTGGAGTACCACTCAGCAGCTGGTAAAACTTGTATTCTTTAAACAGGCTCCCAAGCAAAATTTAAAACATTTTTTAAGGATGGTATCAGTGATACCTCACAGGTAGAAGATGAGGACTTGCAATGGCAGATATTAACAGGCCTTTTTAGCTTTAGGAATTTTGTTTCACCTATTCGGCAAAGAATAAATAAATAAAAAAAAAACAACAAGGAAAACAAACCATCCCTTCCCCTACTCCAATACGGGAGGGCATCGCGCCAGGCGCCCAGAAGGTGGCGCTGTGCATTACACAAAGCCGTCGCCTCAGGACGGGGTGTGCTCCTGCCCTGCCAGGGCTGCAGCCCCTTGCACCCTAGCTTGTAGCAGCCGCCTGCCGTCTCCCTTCCAGGTACTAGCCACAGAAATGGGCAGGACCCTTTCATGCCCTTCAGTCTCTGGTTTAAAGATCTCTATGTGACAAAATTCACCAATAGTCAAAAGCTCCCATTTCCAAGAGGCGGGAAAGAGAAACAGGCCCCGTGTTTTTCTCTGACCTATCCTCTCTTCGTTGCTGACAGATGATCAAATGAGGCACACCGAAGCAATCTATCCTAGCTGCAGGCATTTCTGCAGGCACTCTCTGTTAAAGCAAAGAGAGGTTGCATCGGGGATACAAAGGCAATCTCTAAAGGGACAGTACGTTTCCTGTACAATAGCTACAACAAAGCTCAGTCATTTGTACCAAGAGGAAGCTACTTTGAGCAAACATCAATAAGGTCACTTAAAGCCAGATTTGCATTACTAAGTTGAAGCTCAAGTGATTGACTCAAACCTCTCATCTTCTTAAATCTTCAGTGCTTCCTTGTATTTCTCCTGTGCAATATAACATGCAGATTACGAAAAAAAAAATCTTAAATGGTATCTTGAAACCTAATTCTTTAAATCTAAGCACTCGCAGCTGCTCACTGAATACAAATACTGGGGAGATGCAATAAATCCTGACAAAGCCAACTATATGCAGACAAGGGTGTGTGGTTGCTGCCCTCCTCATAGCAGCTCAGCTCTACTGGTGCTAGCAGTAAAAAGATCTGAAGGAGACCACAGTCAGTTGGTTTTCTAATCCTTATCAGAGGAGGACTGGTGGTCACAAGGTTTAAAACAGTGCTAACAGTTCCTAGTGTCACCTGCACCAAGTCTGTCAGTGCTGCTGTATCTGTAATGCTCACCTAAAACCGATGGAGAACTATTATTTTTTTTGTTGTTGTTAGTTAAAATTACTGTTTGGATTTTAACAGTTCCTAGGAAGATACACCAATGTAACATCAAAAGCTATCTTGACTGAGCTCCTTTCTGGGAATGCAAAATGGGAGTATCACCTCACTGAGGAGGAAGACGGAGGCCATCGTTGCATCTGACACTGGCCCGAGGCCCACCCAGTGAAGAACACAGGATACACAAGGCTCACCATATTGATGCCCACCTAAAACCATAATTCCATCTCCTATACTGGGTAACACTAGTTGTTTAAGAGAAAACTGTGGAACATCATTATGTAACAACTATTAGTGTGAGCTTGTTTTATGTCACGAACCAGGGAGTTCAGATAGAGCAATCTACTACCTCCTCATGTTTTTCATTGCATTTTCAGTGTACGAGCTTTACTTCAACCCTGCTGAGCCTCAGATATCTTGAGATCCTTGGAGAAATTCTTTTGATTAACTAATATTTCTGAAATCGTTGTATTCCAGGCACTTAAATCCCTCAGACTCTCATATGCATAGTGCATACTTAGGAATACAATACTTTTAAACTTTTCATTCATACACAAAAGGTAGACACACTAGATAGGTAGGCAGATAAAGTGTCAGGCTGGAATGTAGACAAGCACACAGATTCTAAAGACAAGTGCATTCACTGCACTATTCCAATGAAGGACTTGGGGAGACGACAACAACATTGTCCTCAGAAGTGAAGGGCACACCATCAGCTTCCGTATACTGGCAGCTCTGAGGAAAGTGGAATAATGGGATGAGAAGCCTGTAATAACTCACAGTAGATAGAAGGGCACTTTCATAAAAAAAAAAAAAAAAAAAAAAAAAAAGGAAAGAAAATAAGAATCGAGTAGCAATGGATACTACTGAGCAAAGATGAACGAGCGGCGCACAGCTGAGCCAGTCAGTACCCACACTGAGCTGTGTTACTGCTGCTGGACCACACTGAGCCACACAAAGCCCCTTAGGTGACTGCAGCTGCATTAATTCACCAGCCAAACAATCCGCTCGGAGATATGACAGTAGACATACTTTATCCTGATAGAGCTCCTTGAGCCTCACAGTTCTTAC